ATCCTTGAAGAGGACTTGCTTCCTACTCTATTGAATACATTCAACTGGATCATGCAAAAGGGTAAATTACCCCCCTCATGGAAGGAAGCAGTTATTTCCACCATTCCCAAAGAGGGTAAAGATAGGACAGAATGTAGCAGTTATCGACCCATTAGTGTATTAAATTTGGATTATAAACTATTTACAGCAAAGATTAGAAAAAATCTTACCTGACATAATAGACCTGGATCAGTGCAGTTTCATTCAACAAAGGCAAACAATGGACAACATAAGGCGTTCCCTACATGTTATTGAACAAATAAACAGAGATGGGGTCCAGGCAATGTTGGTGGGACTGGACGCTGAGAAAGCCTTTGATTCAGTCAGATGGCTTTTTCTTTATAAGGTACTGAAGACTTTTGGTTTTCACAATAAATTTATTTTAATAATACAATCCCTTTACGATAAACCAAGGGCTCGCGTGAAAGTCAATGGAGATTTATCTGAATCATTTACTCTAGAAAGAGGGACCAGGCAGGGTTGTCCAGTCTCACCACTTTTATTTGCACTTTATATTGAGCCCCTTGGTCAGTTTATAAGAAACAATACCAAAATTAAAAGTATTGTAGTTGCTGGGGAAGAACAAAAAGTTGCAATGTTTGCAGATGATGTCTTGGTCTTTTTGAAGGAACCCGAAGAATCATTTGAGGAGTTGATGTCCTCTCTATCTGTTTTTGGGGAATTGTCAGGTTATAAATTAAACCTAAACAAAACACAGGTAATGACACTAAACTATACAGCATCTAACACTTTACGAGATAATTATAATATAAATTGGGAAGCTGAAACACTTAAATACTTGGGAATAATTCTAACTAAGAATATTTCTAATCTATCACAAGTAAATTATGGTCCCTTGTCACAGGCCATAAAATTTGATTTAGATAGGTGGAATTTGGTGCCTTTCTTAAATTTAAACTCAAGGATATCAGCAGTGAAAATGAATGTTCTCCCAAGACTCCTCTATTTATTTAGAACTTTGCCTGTTGAAGTAAGTCACACACAGTTTGGTGAATGGGACAAATGGATTTCGCACTTTATTTGGCATGGGAAAAAACCAAGAATTAAATTTAGATCTTTACAGTTAAGCAAGGCAAAAGGGGGGGGGGGGCAACGCTTCCATGCTTACAATACTACTATTATGCATCTCAGGTCATCCCCCTGCTGCAATGGTGTAACCCGAGTTTGAAAGCTAAGTGGAAATCTATAGAATTCAATACAACCCCTAAATTCCAACTACAAGCCTCAATTGCGGATAAAAAAAATTGGCAGACCGTTTAAAAAATAAAGGCCCATGGATTAGCCACACTTTAATAATATGGAATAAAGTGACTGAAATATGTGGTAGTGAACGAATATTAAAAGTATTTAGATGGTGTGCTTATGATACAGATTTTAAACCAAATGAAAGTGATAAAAGATTTCAGTCTTGGATAGAGTGGACTAACAACATTCCATTCCTTCACACATAAAGGGACACTGCAGAGTTTCCAGTCATTACAAATAAGAAACGGCTTAAGACAAGTAGATTTCTTCAGGTTTCTTCAAATGAGGGATTACTTTAATAAACACTGCAATATCTCAAACCTGAATATGGTCGAGTCAGAAATTTTTAAGATAGTTAAATTAGCATATGATAGTTCCCTGAGAAAGGCAATCTCCAAACTATATGATGTGCTCCTTCAAGCAAGGAAGGATACTACTCAAAATGTTAAGATTAAATGGGAATTGGAATCGGGGATGGGTATAACAAACGAGAACTGGGAGAGGATTTGTAATTTTCATTGGTACTCAACAAGTTCTCTATCTTGGAGAGACCACTGTTGGAAGAACATTATTAGATTTTTTAAAACTCCTCATCAGACTAAATATAAAAATGGGACAGCAGAATGCTGGAGAAGATGTGGATCAGAAGAGGCACATCATTATCATATCTTTTGGGACTGCCCTAACTTAAAAAACTACTGGCTGGGAATCCATAAGACTTTGTGTGAGGTTTTTAAGATAAAATTTGACATCAATTTTGTAAATTTGTACCTGGGCTTGGTTGCTGACTCGGTCCGGGGAGGGGACACAAAACTCTTACAAGCGTTATTAGCGGCCAGCAAAAAATCTATAACCAGAAAGTGGTTAAATCCAACTCCGCCAACACTTGAGGATTGGTTTAATGTGGTTTTCGAAATATTTAAAATGGAAAAATTGACATTCCTTCTAAAAATTCGGAAAGACAAATTTTACAAAATATGGAATAAATGGATTAGTTTTGTGTCCCCCATCCGCCCTGAATTTAGGTAAGACCAGCCCTGAATTGGTGTATTTTGGTGTATCTCCCATGTATCGTACAATGTTAGGTTGACCCTCAACTTCATAATATGTACCTAATGTAGTTTTTGTAAATAAGTTAAACATGCTGCATTATGTAACACATTGTCAAGCCAATGAGTTAATTTTATTTTTTTTCCTTTCCTTTTTTTTCTCGACTAAACAATGTCAATGCACTTTATTGTAATAAGTCCCTTTTTTTTTCTTTCAATAAAAATATAATTAAAAAAAAAAAAAGGAAATACAGAATATAAAGAAAAATCAGAGTCTGTACGTTTCCAATAACCTTGATCTTTATTATTCAACACAGCCTGAACTCTGTGAAGCAGCTCTCTTGTCATTTCTTTAAGTAGTCGAATAGTTCCCCAGGCTTCTTGGAGGACATTCAAAGCTCTTCTTTGGATATTGGCTGCCTTTTCTTCTGCTCTCTGTCAAACTTATTCCACACCGTTTCATTAGCAGTGTGGGATGTATCTCTCAAGTCCTATCTGGTGTCTTTGCATGAGTTTTCAAAATAATATTTAATGTCTGTCATAATTGTGCTATCTTCATTTTGTGGATGTTCCCATGGCTTTTGTGACAGGCAGCTTATAACAAAGTGCCTAGACAAACAATTTAAAATTGCTTACTTAAGTTAGTTTTATGCTTTTTTATGACCTTTAAAGGTTTAAAAGTTTATGATCCATAGACCAGTGTTATCTCGTTTAACAAACAATAAACAATTTGAAAGACCTTCAGAAATCCCGGTGAACTATTGCTCAAGAGCACTTTAAAACTCCTTTGAATTAAAATATAAAGAAATGAGGGGTTCTCAAGATTTTTTGCAGGGGTGGTGCAGAGAAGAAGCAATAATCTAGTTTTTCTAGAGTGAGTTTCACCTACGTTACTTCATTTAATTGGTGTTTGGTCAGAAATAATAAGAAAATGCAAATATATGTTTACACTATGCAAGTTATTCATGACTTACATAAATGAGCATCCCCTAAAACCAACTAAATGCTACCAGGATTTGAAAAGCTGATCAAGGCAAATGCATTTAGTGTCAAATACAAGTGAGTTAAACATAAAGATTGGAAACTAATTTCTGTTACAAGCTATTAATAAAAGCTTTTAATAATGCATCTTTGTTCCTGTTTGTTGGGATTTCTCCCGATCTTAACAGTTAAATGTTTGATTTTGTTAGTTCTAGTATTTACACACATGTTCTTGCTCTGCTATGGGCCAGCTTACCCTTCAGGCTGAACTGAAATTAGTGCATGGAACCACAACCACAGGAAATGACTGCCTTCAGGTGGGGTTACCTTTCAAGTGCCTAAATAAAGAGTCACATAATGGAGCACAACATGTCTTTGTTTTGTGCATCGGCTTCCTTCCATCAATCCTAAAAGGCCCTCCTTTGTGTAACCTTTACGTTACCCGAACCATGACATGGTATCGCCCGAGGGTTGTGGGGGAATAATAATAATTGCGTTTGCCGCAGTTAACGCTGTGATGCTTGAACTGTGAAATAGTCAGAAAATTCGTCTTTAAAAAGAAAAAAGAAAAAACTAGGGTGTTTCTTGAACCTGGCCAATGAAAAATGAAAATGAAAAAGGTGTTAAATATAAATTTACATATATGAATTTGGATTTGTATCATATTTGCTTTTGTGCAAATTATTTAGGCGTTTTGAGGGGAGAGAAATCACACTGTTTTAAGCTGTGCTGGTAAACTAAAAGTAGTCTGAAAAACTCATGCATCGAGTATGATGCATTTGCATTGCTGGGTTAATTATATGAGGTGTGTCATCTGACTGATAAGATTACAAGAGAAAGAGCGTCTTTTTCCCATCCGTTTATATCCTCATTGTCCATAACCTGTCATTGGCACTGATAACCACACTGAACTTTGTACTAACATACTGGAAACCGTCAAGTACTCAGTGAGGTCATTGTGATCTACATATTATTACCAACATATTTAGCTTATGTGTGGTTTTGAGCACTTAAAAAGAAATGCTGTAAGCATGTATTTAGAAATATTGGATTCAGAAAGTTACAAATGGATTGTAATAGTGTCATGAAATTGAAATAAAAAATGATGCCAAGATGGTTATAGTATAACCAAAAGGAGGAGGCAGCAGTTCCCCACTCTATATAAATGAGTGCTCAGGAGGTGTGGTGGTGTTGAGCGCTCAGGAGAGCTCATCTGTTTTTTTGGTCTGCTGTTAGTGCATCTTCTTTTTAATCACACTCTGGGAAATCTTTTTAGTTGAAATTTGCTCTTCTCCGTTTATTTTTATTTTTTTTGAAGTGTTTTGCTTTTTTTACAGATTCCAAAGATGATTTTTTTTGTGATACAACAGGATTAAGCAACAAGAAACTCTAGCAAAGAGTGAGATAGAACCAATGAACCGTATGAAAGCGACTCTTCCTGAACAAGCTCACTGAGTGAGCCTTTCCTCAAACCACATCTGCTGAAAAGAAACTGCAACAAAGAACATGGAGCCAAACAGGAATGTGCGGCACAGTAAATGCTTCTGACAGCAGCCTGTGACGATAGTTTGAACATTTCTGAAAACAAAGGAGCAACCGATTTATATCCACAAAACATATTTTTGAGCTTCTATCATCCTGTCAAAGGAGCCAGGTTTTGCAGCTATGGCCAGATGTCGCATGGATTGCATAGAAAAGCCCCTTCAGAGCTTCTTTAAGAAGATGGGTAAATCTGTTGGATCCAATCCCTGGTGGTTCCTCATTGCCCCCCTTATTGTCTCTGCAGCTCTGGGAAGCGGGTTTTATTTTACTCAGGACAGAATCTCCAACAATATTGAAGAGGAGTTTACACCTTTTAATGGACCGGCCAAGACAGAGAGGAAGTACTTCAGTGAAATGTTTCCAGAAGATGATTCCATGTTTTCAAGTTTGCGGCAGACCACAGATGGAAACTATGCCACTCTCATAGCTACAAGCGAGACTAATATTCTGACTGTTAAAATGCTTGAAGAAATCCTCATGTTGGACTCTAAAATCAAGAACATGTTGGTAGAATTTGACAAGGAATCATTTAAATATGAGGGCATCTGTGCTAAGGTGATGAAAAACTGCATTTCAAACATCATTCTAGATATCATTCAATACAATGCCGAAAATATAAAAGCTGTCACACTGACATTCCCGTGGTATCACAATGGTAACACAAATTTGCCGTTGTATACAAGTCTGGGGGGTGTGACTCAAGGAGACACTTCAGTTGTTGAAAGCGCTAAAGCTATACAACTCTATTACTATTTAAAAGAGGGCAACAAAACAAAAAATGACCTTTGGTTGGAAAGCTTCATTAGTTTGGTGTCAAATAGCTCCTCACCTTCCCTCCAGGTAAGAACTCACATTTTGTGTTTAAGTTATTATCCTCCCACTTGGTGAGATTGTTCCTGCTCATTCTTTTTCCAATCTTCTAGGTATCATACTCCACCTCAATGTCAATGCAGTGGGAATTTGAGAAATCTCCAGATTCTGTCATCTCTTTATTTTCCATCACCTACTCTATTGCCATCACATTTTCCATCATAACTTGCTGGAGGTCAGAAAAACATAACAGCCAAGCCTGTCATTGAATGTATATTTGACAAATTACTTTAAAGATAAAATAAAATATGAGTTTGTTTTTTCAGGTTGGATAATGTGAGGACGAAGGTGTGGGTGGGGTTCTGCGGCGTTCTCTCTACAAGTCTAGCGGTCGTGAGTGGTTTTGGTTTGCTCTTGTTGGTGGGCCAGCCTTTTGTAATGACAGCTGCCTCCTGTCCCTTCATGATTCTAGGTGAGGCTCTGTTAAACATTCAGGTCAAAGTGTTCAGTTAAGGCAGCAGTTTGTAGAAAATGTTATGCCAGAAAAAGCTTTAGCAAGATTTTCACAGCAGCGATTGTCAACAAGACCTGCATTCTTAAAATAACACTTACAGTTGATTGATTTCAATGTTTTCTAAGAAACTACCATTACAGCTGATGGTAACCCTGTCATTAGTGCTCTCTATCTCCCCTAACCCTAGCCTTGTAGACACTCACACAAACACACACCAATACTCTAAGCCTGAAGTCTTATTTTGTATTTTAAAAATATTCCCCACTCTGACTTTTATCACTAAAGGTATTGGGATCGATGATATGTTCATCATGATCTCCTGCTGGCAACAGACTCGTGTTCTGGACAGCGTGCCAAAACGGCTGGGTGAGACCTACAAAGATGCTGCCATCTCCATTACCATTACCACCCTCACCGATGTGCTGGCTCTCTTCCTGGGCTGCATCACACCCTTTGGCTCAGTCCAGTCCTTCTGCCTCTATGCTGGAATTTGTCTTTGCTTCTGTTACTTCTACAGCCTGACTTTCCTGGGTGCATGCATGGCTTTAAATGGGCAGAGAGAAGCAGAGAACAAGCACTGGATCACCTGCATCGAAGTCCCAAGTGATGCACCAGGGAAATCAAAAGCCTTCTGGTTGTGCTGTACTGGGGGTCGGTACAACAAAGATACTGCAAAAGAGGAAACAGAGCCCATAAGTTCTTTTTTTGAGAAGTTCTACGGTCCATTTCTGACCCACAAAGTGACAAAAGTCTTTGTGTTTGTCCTTTATGCAGGTTATTTAGCTGCTAGTATCTATGGCTGTGTAATCTTAAAAGAAGGACTTGATACTAAGAACCTGGCTTTGGATGATTCTTACATTATCAATTACTACAACCATGAAGAGGAGCACTTCAATGAATATAGCTTCAGTGCAATGGTGGCAATAGAGCAGCAATTCCCCTACTGGGACAAAGACCAACGGAAGCAATTAAATTCTTGTATTTCAAGTTTTGAATCACTGAAATTTGTCAATAACACAATGGCTTGGTTCATTTTCTTTGAAAACTATGCAGAAGCCAATAATAAGTCCATAAGCTCCCAGGAGGATTTCCTAAACAACCTGAAACCTTTCTTAAATTTTGACCCATTCTTAGCACAAGACATCCAATGGACTCCAGACGATAAGATTCAGGTATCTCGCTTTTTCCTTCAGACAAAAAACAACGTACCGATGGCAGATATGATGGTGGAGCTCAGGAAAACTGCAGAGGAATGTTCAGTGGAGCTCCTGGTGTACCACCCTTCTTTCATCTACTTTGACCAGTACACTGTCATTTTAAATAACACCATCCAAACCATGCTCACCGCTGTGATCGTAATGCTTGCAATCTCTCTCGTACTCATACCCGATCCTCTCTGCTCACTTTGTGTAGTGTTTGCAATTGTTTCAGTCATCACCGGCGTGACGGGATTCATGTCCCTCTGGGGCGTCAATCTGGATTCCATCTCCATGATCAATCTGGTCATGTGCATCGGTTTCTCGGTAGATTTCTCGGCGCACATTTGCTACTCTTTTGTTTCGAGTCCCAAAAGTGACGCCAATGAGAAAGCTATTGAGGCTTTGGCGATTTTGGGTTACCCAGTACTGCAGGGAGCACTGTCCACTATCTTAGGTGTGGTGGTGTTGAGCGTGTCTGGGAGTTACATATTCCGGACATTTTTCAAAATCGTGTTTCTTGTCATTGTGTTTGGACTGTTCCACGGCTTGACATTTATTCCAGTGTTTCTCACGTTGTTTGGGGCCTGTAGCAAGTCACGTTGAGCTGATGCCCAGTGCATCCGTCTGCAGATTTGACAACACTTCAATTACACTCACGCTAAAACTGTGGATGCCATGCCTTTAACTTGAGATATATATATATATATATATATCTATCATGTAAAAAAAAAAAAAAAGGACTATTGTTTAAAATATAGCAAACCTGTGCGCTCATGCTAAGATACTTTCAGTGTGTTTTCACACACTGAAAGTATCTATCTATCTATAGATCTATATATCTTTATTGTTCATCTCTAATATTTTAGGCTCTTTATCTAACAATACAAAACACCTTGAGGCAACTGAGGTCATGACCTGGTGCAACATAAATAATAAACAGATTTGAATTGAACTGAATAAAGATTTAATAATTGCTGAGATTTTGGGGGGTGTTTAGTTGTGTCACTTATTACAAGGATGTATATGTAGTGTTGTTTTATGTGCATTTTAAAATAAATAAAGTCACCTGTACACACTTAAGTCTTTATTTGGGTTCCTTTTCCTTTACACTGAGGAGAGATGTACAGCAGAGAGCCATTCAGTGTACACAGCATAAAAGCTTCACTATACATCTATATACAATGTTCCCCTTACACCCCTTATATATACACAGATAAGTTACTCACTAAAAGGCGAACAAACAGAATATACTGTGGCAAACTGGAAAAAAAAATAAAAATCAAACATCAAGATGCACAACATGCTGAAATCAGCGTTCTAAATATGGATTACATACACATTTGGAGAAAGACATTCACTGCTTTGACGTAGATTTGTACAGACAATCTGTGCTGGTAAGTGTTTGATTTGGAGTCATCTTACAATTAAATGAAATTCATTTTCCCCTCACATCTTCTTTCACACCTGGAGAAAAGTACCACAAAACATTTAGCATTGTTTGTCCACTTTGCAATGGAGATTTGTTTACTAAGCAGTCCAGTATGCAGGACCAGACACGGGCTAGAAGCCTTTCGACAGTTAAGCGATGAGAACGGGGACTGAAGCACAATACTGACAGCTGGCCTTTTAGCTTCTCAGAATAACTGCAGAGTCTTTATTTCACAATTTGCATGTACAAGAAAAACTACTATGTCACTGATGAGGCTTCCAAAAGCCAATCTCAAACTTTTTAATTAAATTATGGCATTATTTTTATTTCAGAACTAAAAGCCTTCCGATCCCAAAGCTGTATTGCTACGCCAAACACAGCCACTTTACGTCACGTGCTTTTCTGAAGCTGAGGGGCAGTTTTTCTTCCATTTGTACGCTTGAAAGAAAAGGGCACAAAGAGTGCACACGAACATTTTAAATATCCACGCTTAGCCAAGGTGCTGAGCCATTGTAGTTCAACTTTATCCTACTTCGGAAGAAAAAAAATTATATAGTAACCTTCAAAAGAAAACAGCAGGGGAGTAAGATACACTGGAAACACACCTCACAAATATCAGATATGAACACAAACACATGAAGAGAACTGAAACATGAGTAGAGATTCACATATATTCTGGACGCTGTATCAACAATGACCTCTTTGGGTTGATAATATATGTGGCGTATCCAATTGGCCAGAAGTGAATCTGTCTGGCTAAAGATTAATATGGTGATACAGCTGAGTTATGAAGAACCCTAAAAGAAATTCAGATGCTGTTATGTTAGCAGTATATATTTACATTCATGTTTTGTTTCCTCCCACCAAGCAATATAATGACCTGAGCAAAATTTTTAATATTAAACATTTAGTCATTCAACCTTTAATCCCATACAGTGAGCCAGTACTGCTGCTTACATGTGAACACGGGGCACTCATGTTTATGCTTTAAATAACAGCACTACTTATCTGGGGATAGTGATGGGATTCTGTGAAGGTGAGACAGCATGAAGGGATGGGATTTTCCCCACAGGAACACTTGTAAAGTGACATTATAAATGCAGGCCTCTGAGTCCATCCTTCCTTTTTCTATCAGTTGACCTCTTAAAATCTACCTCCTCCTCTGCCTGTGCCCAGAGATATTTGGGTCCTCTCAGGGTTCATCTGGTCTCCAGGGTTTTGCCCTCCAGGACCAGCTGAATCTCTTTGGCATCTAGTGTCTCGTACATGAGCAGAGCATCTGCCAGGTTCTTGTGCTCTTTAGCATGAGACTTCAGCAGGGCTTTGGCACGCTCATATGACTCCTGGAGAGAGCAAGAGAAAAGATGTCAGAGAACATAAACAAAATGTAATTTTCTTTTTAAAGAACAGGAGCTGAGTTAGTTTTTAACATTATATAACAGATCACACAGACCTTGAGTAACACTCTGATTTCTTGCTCCACAGCTGCTTGTGTCTCTGGGCTTTGTGCTGCCAGATCAGTGTAGGTCATTATACCCAGCTAAGAGACACACAGGCAAAGGGGATGCTTGAAAAAAAATGAATGTAAGGACATAAAGTCTTTCACTTTGTGCTGCTTTTAAGCAAATATACCTTTTCACACATTCCATATCTGGTTACCATCATCTTAGCAATCCTGGTGGCACTATCAAAGTCGCTTGATGCTCCTGAAGAACAAGAAATGACTCATTCAATCCTACATCATAAATCATTAATTCCACCTTATCCTGCAACTTTCTTCACCTAAGAATCAGTGTGTTTGTACAATCTACCCTCCCAGTTCACTCACTCTCTGGTCACTTCAAGGACATTTTCTTACCAGTTGTGATGTAATCATGGCCAAATATGATTTCCTCAGCTACACGGCCGCCCATGCTGACATCCATCTGGGCCAGAAGTTGAGAGCGAGTCTCGCTCCACCTGTCATTCTCTGGAAGCATGGAGACCTTCAAAGAAGCATTGAAGGTAAAGTTGAGGATGTAGAAGATAAAGTTTTAACCAGGCATTCAAGTTTAAAGTTATGTAGTGAGAGTATGAACCAGCTCCAGCTTTCCTTACATGTCCCAGACTGGGGCCTCTGGGCATGATGGTAGCCTTGTTGATTGGCATCGCATCTTTGGTATAGAAAGCTACAATTGCATGGCCTGATTCGTGGTACGCCGTGATGCGCTTGTTCTTATCATCTATCTCTGCACTCCTTCTCTCTGGGCCTTGAGGAAAAACAAAGAAAAGACCACTGTTCACAGTGCTTGTTCAAAGGGGATCATCTGACTTTCGCGGTGACTTTCGCGGTGTTGTACATCTTTACACCAAACTATCACTCACCCATGAGGATTTTGTCTTTAGCAAACTCCAGCTCCTTCATAGTGACCATGTCTTTGCCATCAACCGCTGCCTTTAGGGCTGCCTGGTTCACCAGATTTTCAAGGTCAGCACCAGAGAAGCCCACGGTGCCTCGGGCAATAATATTGGCCTCGATAGCTGCAGAAATAACAAACAACATCCATGTGGTTATGAAAGGGCATTATAATGAACCTATTCCTCATTAGCAGATTCTAATTTCTCACTTGGATCCACTTTGATCTTCTTTAGGTACCAGTTGAGAATTTCTGTGCGTCCTTTCACATCTGGTTTGGGCACAGTCACTTGCATGTCAAAACGCCCTGGGCGAATCAGGGCACTGCAAGGGTAAAAAGAGATGATAAAGTGCAAGCATATAACTTGAAACACAGCCCGGAGGGTTTAGCTCTTTTTTGTTTGTATTGCCAATTACAACTGATAGAATGAAGACTGTAAACTTTGACATTTCTAAAATGTGAGCAGTGATATTTTCGCTGGGAATAAGAGGCAAAACATACTTATCTAAAGCCTCCGGGAAGTTGGTTGCCCCGATGATGATCACCCCTTCATTTGGTTTAAACCTACAAATTAAGATTTCAAAAATTTAAATGACTCTCATTTAGACCTCAAAAAATATACAGTACCATCATTATGCCACCCAAACCAATCACAAAATCTATCATTCTGTTTGTAATAACACACAACATTTAGCTTTTTGAGAAATCATTTTAGCCGACTTGCTTCCTGAACATTCATAAATGTGAGTTTTGATTTTACAGATTACCCATCCATCTCAGCAAGAAGCTGGTTGATCGTCTGTCTGGAGTAAGGGTGCATAGGAGATTCTATCCTTTTCCCACCCACGCTGTCCAGTTCATCGATGAAAATCACACAGGGAGCGTTGGCTTTGGCCTCCCCTTAAGAAAAGCAGTCACCCAAAAACAAACATATCAAGCAATCAACTTTAAACTCTAAATTAACTAATACAAAAAAAAAAAAAAAAGGATGCTAATAACTTTTTTTTTTTTTTTTTTAAATAAACGCACTGAAGAGATTCCTGATGCGACTCGCTCCCACTCCAACGAACATTTCGTCAAACTCTGAGCCGGAGGCATAATAAAACGGTACGTCTGCCTCTCCTGCCACTGCTCTGGCCAGCAGGGTCTTTCCAGTCCCTGGAGGGCCCACAAGTAAAACTCCTAAATTAAAGAGAGAGGAGAAAATGAGTTTTGAAAGAGTAATGCCAGAGGTCACTGTGAATGTGCCACTGTGAAAAATAACCCACCTTTAGGCAGCTTTCCTCCCAAAGCTGTGAACTTTTGTGGGTTTTTAAGGAACTCCACCACTTCCTGCAGCTCATTCTTAGCTTCTTCGACCCCTTTCACATGCTCAAATGTCACATTTTTCATCTGCACAGGGTCCACGGCTGAGTCCAGGCCTGATGTGGTTCGGAACCGCACTGTCCAAAATGATTAGATTAAAGTTCGAAATCATGCGGCATGTCATGGTTAATCAACTCACACAGACAAACACATTACATGTTAGCCACATCACACAGCAGCACCACTGCAAATGGTTTAGTTGGAACAAGCTTGCTTAGCTTGCAAGTGTTTAGCTCTACTGTTAATATTTTAACTGATTATTAAAATATTAGTACTTTGGAGGCAAATTATTTTGAAACTAAGATCCAGTGTTTGGAGGGAAAGGGGGCCTTTACCCGATATGAAAGGTGTCTTCGAGATGCCATACAGCCCAACGAGAAGCAGCACCAGCAGGATTAGACGAGTCCTCCTAA